AGTAATATTATCGTGGCTGGAAGCTTGAGAATAAATGAAATTCAATTTAAAAGGTATATTAAGAGCCCAACATATAGAAAGCATCATGCTAGATGTTGGGAATATTAGACAAGGCAAGACTCTACTTTGACTAAGGAGTTTACCAATGTAACATATAGAGGAAGTACAAATAATTTAGCTATAAGGTAGAGTGACACAAGTACCTACAATACATCCAAGCAAAGTACTGTGAGAAATTTGAGAGAGAGGAGAGTTTCTTAGGGAAATCTTCAAAGAGGAGATGGTATGGAATAGTTGGGTCTTGAAGGGAGAGATTTCAGTTAAAGGAGAGAGGGAACCCCAAAAAAGGATTTCAGACAGAGACAATCGGGTTTAAAAGGAGGCTAGATTATAAACTGGATAGGTAGGATCAAGCAAGATGAAAGGCCTTGATTATCAGAATAAGCAATTTACGCCACATTCAAAAAGGCACTAGGGACCCACTACTGAAGGTTTTTGAACAGAAAAGTGACATGACTGAAGGAGTGCATTAAGATTACTTAGCAGTAGTCATCTATGAAGCATATAAAGTGATTTTATTTGAAATGTTACACTGGTTCCATACAAAACTATTCTCCACAAAAGACAACTTTATAACACCTCGAAAAATCTCAAATCAAAGAGTCTTTGACTCTTGTACAGTAAGCAGTTCAATATAGCTCAGAAGGAGGAGGCAGCATGCCTATGGAAAGAATACTGGCTTGGGAGTCAGGGTGACTAAGGCTGGAATACTAGCTATTATTGCCCCTTGCTCATTATGTACTTGCCCAACATCTCAATCAGTTTCCTAGCCTAGATTTCCTCATCTATAAAATGAGAAGGGCTGAATTAGATGATCTTGTGGTATCTTCTAGCTCAATATTATCTCAAGGTGCCATCATAAATTCTAATCTTTCAAGCAATTAGACTTTGTCATGTTATAAATTTAATTGAGCCTAAAGATTTTTTTAAGTAAAAAAAGCTCTGAAATAGTAAACTGCTATTTATCAACACCGTCCTATGTAATGTAGTTCAGAAAACTTGATAAAATAACAAATTTATGTATTTATAAATGTTACACTGATTACTGATTATTATAGATGGTTACACTCAGATTTATCTGATGTTACACTGACCTTTCAAAGAGTCAAGAAAAAGTCTATTCCCAGGCTTGTACTTTTAACTAGTAAACTAATTGGCCTGGGAAACTTTTAACAAGTTTGGCTAGGAGGTAAAAGTTCTCAGCCTCACTAACCCCCATGGCCATCTAATCCCTCAAATAGGAAAAAGAAAAAGTCATAACTTGTGTCACAGCTTATAATAGGGTCCTTTTGCACCCTCACCAACTAAACCCCTTTGGTTACGGATGCAAGCAGTCCAGTCTTCTGCCCCAATATCAACAGTACAGCAAAGTTCCAAAGCAAGGACTCAAGATAGGTCTTTGAATGCTTTGTTTGTACGTATCAAGGTATTTCCAGTGATACAGAAATCTAAGTACAATAACTTGGAGGTTGAGAGATGGAAGGTATAGGTGGAAGGACGGTAAGCACAAGGGAGACAATCCTCTGGCATTAGTATGAATAGAAATAGAAGTATGTAATAAGTGTCATTAAGGAAAAACACAAGCCAGAAACAAATCAATAGGTGTTTTCACCTATGCTAAAAGTTCATTTGTAATTTTTTATTAGTCAAAACCCAAATCTGTTTAGAAGATTGTAATTAAAGCCAAATAAGGCAGAGTCCCATATTAGTTTCCTATTCAATTTCATCAAATTTAAGGAGTTACCAAAGACTAACAATTTAATGATACTAGTTGCTAAATTATGAATTTTTACATTGACTATGGTTTAAGATCCTTAAGTATATGGCTCAGGTTTTTCTGCTGTTATGACTCTCCATCACAATTCATCTAGTACAGGAATAGGTCACCTGGCACTAATTCCACAGCACTGTTGTAAGGATAAAATAAAAACGTAAATGGAAAGTATTTTGAAATTTTAAAGCACTTTAAACAAAGGCAAGAGATTTTGCAACCAAGTCTTCATCTGCCTCCCCACTTAAGTTGCTAGCAGTTATCTCATACGAAAGCTACTTCCATTACCCATGTGAAGAAGAGGCAGCCAAATGGAAAGAGGACTGAATCTGGAGTCACGTATGTGGCTGGGTGATCCTGGGCAAGTCCCTAAATCACTCCATACTCTAGGCTACTCTCTAAACTTATGTTAAAGGAAAAATGCAGACTTGCATAAATAAAGGCCATTTCCTTATTCAGGAATTCCCTATGTCAATATAATTGTAAAATCATAAATTCAGACCTGATCCCAATGTGCAATTTCATTTATGTCAGTCACCTCTGTCTGCAGGGCCACCCAATTTGATACATCATTACTGAATTGTGTATTTGTGGATTTCAAGGCCCTTCTTCTGCCTTTCACTGACAAGAGCTCTCTAATTTATACATAGCCAACCTTTCAATTCCCCAACCTACAAGCCTACTTGTCAGACATTTTTGTCAGACAGAATTTGTTATTCTGTCCTTCTTGGCAGAGGAGAAACAAAAAGCCAGCACTTTTAAGTTAGGCATTCAATGTATGACCTCAAATAAGTCACTTCACTCAGAGGCACCTTTTCCTTATCTGGAAAACAAGGGGTTTGTACTAGATAAAAATCTCCAAGGTCTCTTTCAACTCTAAAGTTTATGAGTACCAAAATAATGTCCAGAGTGAAACCCTTGAGTCAGCTTAGAGACATTTATTTGGGAGTAAGAGACATTTTTTTCCTTTTGTGCATCATTTCTCGGTAGGATAACTTGCATGAAATTCCAAATACTTTACAGGTACGAAGCAGGGTAGTTATAAACAAATAGGTATCAAATGGGTGAGGGGATCCCCACTTGTAGTGAGGTATGCATTTACAAAGCCACACTTACATCCGAAAATCCCTCAAACACAGGGTGGTATAATTTCAAAAAAATTCTCACTGATACAAAAATGAAGTTAGCATGACTTAACTTAAAGGCAACATAAAAAGCTGAAGTTATTAATTTCTGATTGGGACATCAATTTTTTTGACAAACTGGTAATGTTTATCTAAAGAGGAAGAAAAAAAGTACTAAGCTAAATCTATCAATCAATTGTTAAAGTCTACTAAGTATCAGGCACTATGGCTACAAAAACAAATGAACAAAACCCAACTCTACTAGCAAGGAGCTTATCTATCTGAAAATATGAAAATCTAGTGGTAGGTCTCCAAAGAAACAAAAACTTTCCTGATATTAAGAGCGGCACTTCCTCCAAAAGACATCCCTTTGGGGGGAAGGGGGGAGAGAATGATGGTGGGTTAAAAAACCTATTTTGAGGCTTTTAAGAATAATAGTTTATTGCATTCTCATTATATGGTAAGGGCAGGAATTGGTTTTAATATCTCCACAACCTAGCAGAGGGCCTGTATATGGGTGCTTAACAAATGCTTGTTGACGTGAAAATGCAAGTACTTTTTCCAAAGGACATCCATTTGTGGAAAGAAAAAAAAAAACACACATAACCCACCTCCCCCTTCAGGCCTTTAAAAATCATAGTTTACTGTATCCCCCTTAGATTGTGGTCTCCTTGAGGGCAGAAAATGCTTTTCTTAGTATCCCCAGCACCTAGCACAAGGCCTGATACATAGCAGACACTTCATAAGTCCTTGCTGACTTGAGAGTGCAGTGCTTTTTCCAAACGATATCTAGGGAAATAAAAAAAGTGGGCCAGCTCTGCCGGAGCAGTTTTTAAATAACCTACTTCAAAGGCTAGGAAGAATCAGTTTATTGCATCCTCCTTAGATTGTGGGCTGCTGGAGGGCAGGCATTGTTTTTCTGAGTATCTCCAGTGCCTGGCACATAGTAGGTACTGAATAAATGTTGACTTGAGTACAGTTCTTTGCTCAAAGGATATCCAGGAAAGAAAAAAAAAAGTGGGCCAGCTCTACTGGGGCACGTTTAAACAACCTACTTCAAGGCTGAGAAGAATCCTAGTTTATTGCCCAGTGCCTCCCCCCAGACTAGGCGCTCCCTGAGGGCAGGGGCTGCTGTGGCCTTTCGGGGCACTTCCTGAGCTCTGGTTTCACCCGGCTTGACCCCGGGAAGGCAGAGGGAGCGCGCGGGGCTCCAGAACGCCGCGGGGTGCTCTCCCCCAGCGGGGGGCCCCCTCCGAGGACGCTTCCTGCCCGGTTGCAGGCAGGGAAGGCCCTTTAATAAGCCGTCTCCCTCTCCCTGGGCTGCGGGTACGGAGCCGGACTAGGTGGGGCTCGCTCAGCCGCCTTCCTCCTACCACTTCCCGAAACAAATGCGAGTCTACCAGCCCGTCGCAAGTAAACTTCCCCCCCTTCCCTTCCCTTCCCTGTCAGCCTCGTAGCCCCGAGGGAGGGGGCCGGGGAGTGGTTTCCCCCTGAACCTTCCCGGCCCCCTCCCACCCCCGCATTTGGGGACGGTCCGTCCGGTCCAAGGACAACTTTTCACGTTTCCGCTCTCTAACTTCCACCCACAGCCCGGGGTGGGGGCCGGGGGGACCCCCGGCGGCGCGAGGGGGGGAGGGGGCGGTCGCGGCAGGGGGGGGCCGGGAGGCGGACACCCGCCTCGCCCTGGCACCGTCCACACCCGCCCGGCCCGCGCCTGCTACAGGCAGGCAGGAGTGGGGGGCGCGTGCGGGTGTGCGTGTGAGTGCGTGTGAGCGAGGGTGCAAGGGGGGGTCCTCAAGCTCGCACTTCCTCCGCCATGTTTCAAACATTTGACCCCTTCCGCAGAGAGGAGCGCGGCTTCCCGGAGGCGGCGGCTGCGCCTCGTCCCTCCCCGGCTCCGGAGCGGGCGGCCGCGAGGGCGCCCCGGCCCGGCCGGCCCCGGGCTCCCTCAGCCCCGCTGCCCCGTCCGTCGCCCGTCCGCGCCCCGCCCGGGCCGGGCCTCCTCCTCTTCCTCCTCCCCGCCCCGTCGCCGGCCCCCCACTCACTCAGGGCGCTGCCACCGAGTCCCCCGGAGGGCCCCCTCCGCAGAGCCGGGCTCTCTCTCGCCGTCTCCGTGTCCGCTCTCCGGCCGCCAAGGCGGGTGGGTCGCCGGGCTCTGCTGCTGCCGCCGAAGCCACCACCGCCGCCTCCCTCCTCCTCCTCTTCCTCCTCTGCCGCCGCCGCTCCGGCTTATTCCACGCCTGACTCTGGGCGAGGTTTGGCTGGGTCGCCTTGACGTCAGGCGTTCAGCCTCGCTTTCGGTTCCTTCCGCTGGCGGAGAGGGCGGGCGTGGAGCACGGGAGGGGCGGGGCCAGGGAGGGGAGGGAGAAGGGAAGCGAGACAGGAGGGGCGGGGCGCCGAGAAGGCTGACCTTTTCCCTCTCCTCGCTCTCTCATTTCTCCCTCCTCCCTCCTCCTTCCTCCTTCCCTCCCACGCCTCCGGGACCCGAGCGAGGCTGAGGCTGAGGCTGGTCCACGTGGACGAGAGTCCGGCTCTCAGGCAAGAAGCTTTTAGTAAGCGCCTACTGTGTGCTGAGTGCGGGGATGGGGAGTGGGGGAGGATAGAAAGAAAGGCAAAAGTCACGTTTGACCGCTTTCAAGGAGGTCACAGCCTCATGCAAACGAGATGATATATTGGAAATAATTAACAGAGGGAAGTCCCTAATAAATCAATAAACATTTGATAAGTGCCTATTGCTAATTGCTGGGAAAATAAACAAAGGCAAAAGACGGAAAAGCTCACAAGGAGCTCATAGCCTAACAGAATCAGTCAGCATTGATTAAGCACCTACTACGTTCCAGGCACTGGGTGTGCTAAGTGCTGGGGACAGAAAGGCAAAAGACAATCCCCCAGTCATTAGGAGCTCGAAGTTTAATAGGGGAGACAGCTATATACCAAAAAATCATATGCAAGTATGTATTGGAAATAATCCGCGGAAGTAATGCACCAGAATTAAGGGAGAAATCTGGGAAGGCTTCCTGTAGAAGGTGGGATTTTATGTTTTGGGTTTTTTTTATTTTATTTTTTATTGTTAGGCAGTTGGGGTTACGGGACTTGCCCAGGGTCACACAGCTGCTAAGTGTCAAGTGTTTGGTCTGAGGCCGAATTTGAACTCAGGTCCTCCTGACTCCAGGGCCAGTGTTCTACTCACTGTGCCACCTAGCTGCCCCAGAGGGTGGGATTTTAGCAAGGACTAGAAGGAAGGGAAGGTGGGATGGGGAGGCACAGGACTGTGCCCACCTAAAGTGAGAGAGATTCTTCTGGCCTGGGTCAAGTTAAGTCAATAATCACTTATTAAATTCAGAATGCTGGTGTGAAGTCCTGGGGATACAATAAATAAGAAAAAAAAAAGAGATAGCCTGTGGTCCTGAAGGAATTTATATTCTAATGGAGAAAGATAACGTATAAAAGTAAGCTGTTAAGGGAGGTGGGCTAAGAATTGTAGGGAAAATCCAAGAAGAGAGTCTAGAGCACTTCCTGGAGAGGAAGGGGACGTGGCTCAGGAAGCCTTTTTTTAAAATGGAGGTTTGGGTAAATAACATCCTTTTTGTCTTAATGTTCATCCCACATCATCTCTCCACCAGGTCAACTGAACTTCCAGATATAGCCTAGTCTAGATGTATCCTCCCAGAAGTTTGTGATGAATGAAAATCAACAATGCCCCTGCTAGCCAAAAATGACATAAGTTGCACTGATTTGGTTTTCTTTTTTGACTTTCAGTTGCACTGGGGAAGGGAACTCAGTGTTAGGAAATCCCCTCTCTCAGTGTAAATTAGATCCTGTTTTTCGACTTCTACTTGGTGTCACAGGTACTGAGGGGTTATGTGAGTTGACCAGGGTCACACACACTTTGCAAGACTGTGAGTGAAATTTGAGAAATTCAAGCTTCATTCATTTCTTGAACTGGAGGGAATATGACATCTAAGACTGGGAAAATGGTGGAGCTACCCACGGAATGCTTTCCCACACAAGCTAGTCAGCAGGTGGTTTTTCCTCTTACTTGCTGAAGTATGCTATCGTCATGATCTCCTGTCTTCTCATGGGATCTGGGTCAGGAGACCTCAAAAGTCTTAATAATCATAAGGCAAACTGAAGGAAATACTTTAAAATACGTAAAGCACCTTTCTTACATCCTTGCTCATTTTACAGATAAGGAAACTGAGGCAAACAGGGTTAAGTGACTTCCCCAGGGTCATACAGCTAGTAAGTGTCTGTGGCCAGATTTGAACTCAGGTCTTCCTAACTCCTGGGCTGGTGCTACCTAGTTGCCCAGGGTTGTTGTGGGGATTAAGTGAGATAATATTTGTAAAATGCTTAGAACAGTGCCAGGTACATGGTAAGCACTATATGAATGTTAGCTATTATTATAGAGCACAGTCCTGGACTAAGGAAGACCTGAGTTAAATTCAGCTTCAGTCATATAACTAGCTGTGGGACTCTGGTCAAGTCACTTAACCTCTGTGTGTCTTAGTTCCTCATTTGTAAAATGGGAATGATAACAGCATCTACTTCGGTAGGTTATTATAAGAATCAAATAAGATAACATTTGTAAAGGCTTAGTACAGTGCCTGGAATATAGTAGGTGCTTAATAAATGCTTGTTTCTTCTTTCCTTTCTTTCCTTCCTCCCTTTCTCCCTTCCTTCCGTCCTCCAAGGCATGTATGCTATCAGCTATTATACTACAATCCCAGCCTAAACCTGAGAAGGATTCCCCACTCCAACTGCCCTGACAAGTCTGTCCAGACTCTGCTTGATGACTTCCTGGTCCACAGACTTTTAGGAATTTTTCTGTCCAGTTTCTCATGCATGACAATCTCAGGGCAATCAGCCAGTCTTCTGGAAGGTACCTACTGATATGGGCAGATTACACATTTAACCCCACAGTTCCAGGCTGTCATCCTTGAGTTCCTCCGCAACTGAATATTTCTAGATACCAGCCAGACCCAAGTGACTGTTTAATTAGATCCAGAACATTTTGTTTATTGAAATTTGATCAGGTACTCACAAATACTTCATGCTTCTAAATATGATCTGTGAGTGGAGATTTCCTTAAAGGTACAAGGTTAGAAGGGGAAGATGCCCACGTGGAACATTTTGTACACAAAAGAGTTTGAATTCTTGAATATGGATGTCTCCTACTTGCTGGATTTAGGGTGTATCATAGTTCTCTTTTTCCAGGGGATGGTTCAATTTTTCCTACTAGGCCTAGAGGCATATTAATATTCCCCTATTATTTTTCTCTTTCACCTTATAGACTCCTGTTTATGGGAACCTGATACTTCTTTCTCTGAATCCAAACTTTTCCCCAACTCTCTATCCATTAATCACACAGATAAAGATTAGAACCTACCAGATTTTCTTTTCTAAAAAAGGGGAATAGAGGGAAAAGTATATGTGTAAAATAATAACAATAAAATGACAATAAACAAAAGCAGAAGGCATTTCTGATGGCATATTCAACAATTAGATATCCATACCCCAAGTTCTCTAATGAAAGGAGAGAGTTACATTTTCTTATTTCTTACGGGCAACATTTTGTCATTGTGATTATAATGGAGCAGTTAGGTGCCACAACAGATAAGAGGCCTTTTAGTCAGGAATGCTTCCTCAGATACTACTAGCAATGTAGCCCTGCACAAGTTGCTGACCTCAGTTTCCTCATCTGTAAAATGGGTATAATACTAGCACCTATATCCCAGGGTTGTTATGAGGTTCAAATGAGAGAATGATAATTATAATGAGCTTAGCAAAGGGCCTGGCATATAGTAAGCACTATGTAAATGCTTGTTATTTAGTGAATTCCTTTCTAAAATATTCGGTTTCATTTTACTGTTCCTTCTGTTTACATTGTTATAGTCGTCATCTTTGTGTATACTGTTTTCCTGGTTCTACTTACTTCTCTATGCCTATGTTTTCCCCATAGCTGCTAGTTTTGGGGGATGATTATTAGAATTTTAAGTGTAGTTTACAATGTGTTGGGGGAAAGTATGTTATTGTAAAGATCCTATTTTTCTATAATTTTGGTTATGTAAATGTGTGCATACGTATAGCTGGCCACTCTATCTTTTCTAATAGGAAACTGTATTTTGAAGTAATTGATTTTTTTCAAGAGAACAAACCCCCAAAACATTGCCAGTTTAATGAATGGAAACTTTCTGAAAAGCATATGGGGCAATATTACATGTACTGAATTGTCCTTTTTGATCCTTTGGTAACTAAAGCATTTCAATCCTTCAATTTGACAAAGAAAATACATTCTAAATACCCAACTGAAATATGCCCTACTTAGAGCAATAGAATCGCTGACTCTTCAGAGTTGAAGGAGATCTCAGAGTTCACCCGAACCTTTGCAACATCCCCAACAGGTCATTCAACCTCTACTTGGAGCCTACAAATCAGTTTTGACACAACCGCAGAAACTTCTTAAGTTACACTGTTTCTTTGAAGTTGTTTGCAGTTAGTACCTTCTGTACAAGTGCGACCCAGGAAGGAGAGACAGTAAAAGTATTGTCCGTCTGAGTTGAACTACAGTGGGATAAGAACTGTGTCTCTGCACGTGACTAGTACATAATATAGCATAAATTATCAACAGCTGTTCACTGAGTGCATCCATGCAAGGTGTAATGTTAGGCATTTGGTAGTCTAATTGTGTTTTTTTTTTTTTCTGGTGAGGCAGTTAGGGTTAAGTGACTTTCCCAGAGTCACACAAGTAGTGAGTGTTGTGTCTGAGGCCAGATTTGGAGTCGGGTCCTCATGACTCCAGGGCCGGTGTCCATCCACTGCACCACTTAGCTGCCCCTTGGTAGTCTAGTTGTAAATGGAAATATTGGTTAGCAAACACTTAGTTCATGCTTGGCACCATTTGAGGCGCTGAGGATTATTTTTAATGTTAATTTATTTTTAGTTTTCAACATTCACTTCCATAAGCTTTTGAGTTTTACATTTTCTCCCCCTCCCTTCCTGCCTCCCCCTCCCCAAGAAGGCGTGCAATCTGATATAGGCTCTACACATACATTCCTATTAAACATATTTGCACATTAGTCATGTTGTAAAGAAGAATTAGAACCAATAGGAGGAATCATAAGAAAGAAGAAACAAAGCAAAACAGAAGGAAAAAAAGCAAATAGAATGCTTCAATCTGCATTCTAACTCCATTGTTCTTTCTATGGATGTGGGTAGCATTTTCCATCATGAGACTTTTGGAGATGTCT